ACACACACACACACACGCACACACACGCGCGCGCACACACACGCACACGCACGCACACACACGCATGCAGGGGAGACCCCGCAGGACCCCGGCAGTCCCAGAAGAAAACCAAGGAGGCGCTGGTCCCCGGACGCCTGCCTGACGCACATGGGATGCTTGCGTCCCCATTATGATTAATGGTGATAATACTGTAATGCTAATAATAGCATGCACGCAGGATGTGGAGAGCACGCTGGGCAGAGGCAAGAGAACTGTCTCTTGCTGTCACCTAGTGCCTGTCTGCTATAAGTAGGAAAACTGATCTAATATCTTCAGGGGCTTTGACAGCTTATGAATTTGTACAGCTGCTGGGGGGCGGCTCCCCGAGATGGAGATTTATAACTCTTACAAATACGTGCACATTGATATTTTTTAAATCCTGGAAGAGAATGAATGGTGAGGTCCCCAGCACCCCGTCCCTCCGGCCACAGTGGTGAAAAATTCACTCCTCGGCTCTTGCCTTCATTCCTTCCTTCCACCCTTTCAACACCAGGCTGCACGCCACACACAAGCACACTGAGGCCAAAAGCCCACGGGGAGCCAGCCCTCGCCTGCCTGCCCTGGGAGGACCCTCTGGCCCCCAGGGGCTGGGCAGGGGATCTGGTTCCCGGTGGAGATGGAGAAGCCAGGGGTCCATTATCAGTCCTGCTTCTGAGACTCCTGGGAAAGGGGGTTGAAGCTTGGTGGCAGCTGCAGGAGGAAGCTGGCTGTGTATTAAGAGCTCTTAGCTGTGCTGGATGGGGACAGCAGGGGGAGGGCCCAGCCCATACTGGTATTTTGAAGGGGGTGATTCATCCTTTTTCTTTAATGCACTTGGAATGTCAGAGCTGGAGGGGAGCTTAGATTCCAGTGCCCACCGCTCAATACATGGATGAGAAGACTGAGACCTCCCTACACAGCCACTTGCTAGGATCACAGACAACTGCAGTTGGGATTGGCTAGGTGATCTGTGCTGTGCCTCTTCTCTCATGGCTGTTCTCTTTTTCTCTGTTCTTTCTTCTCCTCCTTCCTCGTCCTCTTCCTGTTCTCCTCTTCCTCCTCCTCCTCCTGGGTGTGGTGTGTGTGTGTGTGTTTTCATTTTGATGGGTGGGACAGAATTCTCCCCAGTTGACATAACAACAGATAGGCAAACTGATCAACCCTCCTTCTGTACCTACTAGCAAGGTGTGTATCAATAGTTTGTTACATGTCAAGCACGGGCTAAACCAGTTTCTTTACGCTAATTCTCATCTAAGGTCTCTAGACTCTAATTGAGGAAACTGGGATTCAGGGAATGTAAGCATCTTGTCCAAAGCCACACAGCCAAGGTTCAAAATCCTGTCCTTCTTCTACACTAACCTATACTTCTTGTAACTATTCTTCAAGGACTTGAACACTTGGTTTGGGAGACATCATGCATGCCACAAGTGAGCTGGGAAATCTTAGCTCGAACTGTCTGGGGCTTCATATTAAAAGTTTTGTATACCCTGTTATCTACCACTATCTCTCCCCCCAGACCCCCATACAAAGAGTTTACAATGCAATAGAGGAGGCAAGAAATGAAGAACAGGTTGAGTGATGAAAGAAGAGTTAAACCATCAAATAAACTGGGGCCAGAGAGAGGAGGGCTCACTGCTAGACAGGGTAACCAGAGAAGGCATTTGACCAAAGTCTCAAGAACAAGTTGAATGTCTAGCCATGGACATAAGCTGGAGGAGGAAAGGAAGTTTGGATGAAGTGAGCAGTAAAAAGAAGTAAAGGCATCATGTTGGGAAAGTATTTGTGTGTTTGGGGAATAGCTCAAACACACTTTAGCATAGGGTGGATCCAAGCCGAGGAGAGCAAGTAATAAAGTCTGAAACACAGGCTAAGGCCAAATTAGGGAGGGTTTTGAATGCCAGCTCCAGCACCAAACTTTATTTCCCAAGCAATAGGAAGCCATTGAGAGCTCTCAAATAGGGCAGGGGCATCATAAGAGCACAGCAGCAAGTGAATTTACTCATTCAATAAACATTTTTAGCACCATTCTGGTTATCTATTGGTATACAACAAGCTGCCCCCAAAATTAAGAGTTTTAAAACAACCATTTTGCTTTGCTCATGATGCTGTAGCCCAGGAATTTGGGGAGGGCTTAGCTGGATAGATCATCTGTTATACTGTGGGTGTCAGCTGAGGGCTATGGGATCCACTTCCAAAGTGGATTCCAGCACCTGGCAGTCAGCCAGGAGCCCAACTAACACGTTGACCAGAGGCCCTACAAGTTGCTTTACAATGCGGCTTGGGTTTTCTCCCAGCCTGCTGGCTTTAGAGTACTTGGTTTTACCTGGTCGTCCATGACTACAAGAGAAAGTGTGCTAAGAAGCCTGGGTGACAGCTAGAGGGTGGCCTAGGATGGCCTGAGAAGTCTCACACCATTGTTTCAACTTAGTCTTTAGGGTAAGCAAGTCTCAAAGACCAGCTCAGACTCAAGGGGAAGGAAATTGAACATTATCACCCGATGGGAGAAGCAGCAACGAATCAGGGCCTTCTTTAACGTACCTTGTGAAAGGCACTTCTGCAAGCCAGGCTATTTTCCATGCCCAGATA